ATCGTACTCGTTCCATTCGTAATACATTTTATGCAAAAATTCGCGGAGAGCAGGGGTTGTTCGCGTGAGGTTTAATGGATGTCAAATGGGAAGAATAAAAGGGAAGAAATCAGTATTCCGGGCGGAGATCCAGAGATCCTCGAGACCGCGATTTAAAGTTCCCTCGGAGGCTTGCGCTTGACAGGAAAGCCCCGTTGGCGTGAGGTTCTTCCAGTTTGAAAAGCTGCGTCTATGCGAACCGTGTTTCCCGGTTAGAACACGATCCACGACGCTTGTGGATGGAGTTTTTCGTATAACAGTCGAAAACATCGAGTCGGTAAATTCTGCAAGCTCTCGAGAAGTTGGCTCGACCCGAAGGGCGCGGCCAAGCGTAGAAAGCTTGGTTTACCTTTCGTTCGAGCGACTTGGGAAGTTGATCAAGCTTAAAATTAATCGCGTCTCGAAAGCTTACGGGAGTATGCCACGAAACGCAACCCAAAACCGCCATTTTCTGCAGAATAATCCTCGGATAACCGCTGCTCCTGACTTGACTCAAATAGGGGTGAATTCTTCTCATCGACGAGGACTTCGTACGTGAAAATCGTGTGTTGGGGTGGTGGAAAATAATTTCGCGATTTTTGATAAGGGATGGTGATGGTTTTGGAACAAGCATAATTTTATTCGATAATATATCGGATAGTTTGAGAAGGAATAAATGATTTTAATTGGGAACATTGTTTTGAATTAAAAAAGGAGTATTATATTAATTATATATTTATAGGATAATTATATAATTAGGAAATATATTGTAATATTAATATTTCGATTAATATATCAATATTAATATTTTCCACTTTCCATTTTAAGGTTTATTATTATCATCATCGAAGAATTATATGTAAACTGAGCAGAACAATTCTATTATGCTCTCTTTAATCTCCACTTTCCAATATTATAAATTAACGAGAAGTGAACGTGCTCTTTAAAAATTCGTAATAATTAGCAATAAATTAAGCAACAAATCAAATAAATCGACGTTGCATTTTCTCAAGATATTTTTCCAGACTTCGAGATCATAGATACTCTTTCAAGGAGGATTCTTCAACTCTGCAATAATTAATTTTCTCCAAAAAGAAAATTAAATGATCCGTGATATATTGTACCATTCTCTTCACTCGATTTTAATCGGAAAACATTAAAAAATCATTGGAAATGGACACGAATATCAAAATAACATAGTAGAGGAACGTAATAATTATCAAGAAATCGAACAAGTACATACAAAAACTCATTAACATAGTCACGAAAATTTTTAATTTTCGCAAGAATTAATTTTCTCTAAAAAGAAAATTAAATAATCCACGATATATTATACCATTCCCTTCGCTCGATTTTAATTGGAAAAAATTCAAAAATTATTGAAGATGGACACAAATATTAAAATAACGTAGTAGAGAAATATAATAATTACCAAGAAATCGAACAAGAAGTACATATAAAACTTCATTGACATATTCACGAAAATTTTTAATTTTTGGAAGAATTAAACTTCTCCAAAAAGAAAATTAAATAATCCACGATATATTATACCATTCCCTTCGCTCGATTTTAATTGGAAAAAATTCAAGAATTATTGAAGATGGACACAAATATTAAAATAACATAGTAGAGAAACGTAATGATTACCAAGAAATTGAACAAGAAGAACATACAAATCCTCGCTTACAGTCTCGAAGATGTTTAATTTTTGCAAGAATTAATCTTCTCCAAAAAGAAAATTAAATAATCCACGATATATTATACCATTCCCTTCGCTCTATTTTAATTGGAAAAAATTCAAAAATTATTTAAGCTCGACACCTTCTCGACCAATACCAAAATGATACAGCAGAAAGAGCGATGGAAAATTTATTACAATAAATATTGGAAACGATGACTCTCGATACGTGCTGGAGACGATGCAATCATTCTTGCCGTCTCTTGGACGGAACAAAACTGGAGCTTTATTCCTCGCTCGGAAAATAACGAAGCAGTATCTTGGGCGATGCCCATCCGCTCGTGTCTTGCCTTTTCAAAGAGACCACGTATCCCAGCCTCCATGGGGCTCGTGGCGCAGTGGAAAAACACATATCTCTTATTTCTTCGTCAATTTCCCGCCTTCTGAAAAACGTCCCTTCTGTCGATACAATTTCGCTGTGGACCAGACCTTTCTCTCGCAGCCCTTCCATTCGTCCTGACAAATTTTAACCTCTCTTCCAGCAATTCTTCCAAGCTCCGCTCCGCCTTCGCACCCTTCCATTTCTCACCACCGCCCTCGTAGCTTTTGTTTCGCGATAGGTATGCGGTTCGCGGCTCGGACTTTTGGGATGAGAGATATGATCCCGAGGGATCGCGTTTTCCGTGGAAATGGCTCGTTTTTCACAGCCACGTCTCATGCATGCGGCCTGAAAAACCAGACGAAAGGAGAACGCTTGCCTGTCAGGCAGCAGGGAAACCGGCATGCTTCTTGGCGAACATCTCGTGTTAGAGAGTCAGGTGGTGCGGTTAATGAGTCGCTCTTAGTAATTTAAAGTTCTAATTGAATGTGACCGAGTTTCGAGTTGAAAGCACACAGGACAGGCAGATGGCAAGCGATTGTGTCAATAAGACACGTCCTCCGCGATTCGATCTTGTTATCTCTGGCTTTTCAGTCCGACTCACCCTTGTCTGGATATTATCATCGCGGATGCATTGTTTCGCTGATTGTGTCAGACGAGAAATTTTCTCGTTCATGGCTAAGTCGAAGTGAGACAGGATTATGTTTGCTCTTTTTACCTGGCAGATTTTCTGCATATTAATTAGGGTTCAATTCTTCAAAATTTTTAAAATAACTAAGTACTTTATGAACAATAATGGAATACTTTAGAGCTTTAAGAAATTTCTAGGTAGTTCAATTAATCAGCGTTAATCAGCAATGAGTTGTCGTGACTATAATTATATTTAACGTATCTTAGCTAGTACGAAGTTCGAGGAATTGACGGATTTTGTGCATGTAAATTAGGGTTCAATTCTTTTAAATTTCAAAAATAACCAAATATGTAATACTTCGTGAACAATAGTGGAATAGTTTAGAGCTTTAAGAAATTTCTAGGTAGTTTAATTAATCAGTGTTAATCAGCAATGAGTTATCGTGACCATGTCGTAGTAAGTACGAAGTTTGAGAAATTGGCAGATTTTATGCATATAAATTAGGGTTCAATTCTTTTAAATTTTAAAAATAACTAAATATGTAATACTTTGTGAACAATAATAGAATATTTTAGAGCTTTAAGAAATTTCTAGGTAGTTCAATTAATCAGCGTTAATCAGCAATGAGTTGTCGTGGCTATAATTATATTTAACGTATCTTAGCATGTACGAAGTTCGAGGAATTGGCAGATTTTATGCATGTAAATTAGGGTTCAATTCTTTTAAATTTTAAAAAAATACTTTATGTACAATAATGGAATATTTTAGAGCTTTAAGAAATTTCTAGGTAGATCAATTAATCAGCGTTAATCAGCAATGAGTTATCGTGATCAGGTCGTAGTATGTACGAAGTTCGAGGAATTGGCAGATTTTGTGCATATAAATTAGGGTTCAATTCTTTTAAATTTTAGAAATAACTAAATATGCAATACTTTGTGGACAATAATGGAATATTTTAGAGCTTTAAGAAATTTCTAGGTAGTTCAATTAATCAGGGTTAATCAGCAATGAGTTATCTTGACTATAATTATATTTAGCTTGTCTTAGCATGTACGAAGTTTGAGGATTTTTTAAAATTTGTATCGAATTTTATCATAATATATATGGTAATGATTTTTTTATAATTAAATCATTGTGCAGAGGGTTAATTATTGAGTGAGAACATTTTTTGAGACGAAGTATAGTGTTTTGGAATTTTTTTCTATGGAGCCTTGTAATTTCTGTTTTTTGATGTTTTTATAGAGGAGTGAATTTAACCATTTTATTGAGTCCATCGTTACGATTGTTCAGTCTTAAGAGATATTTACAGTTATTGTAGCTTAAATGACGATTTTTAATTTACAATTAAAAATTCTGCACTCAATGATCACTCCACTTCTCGATTTTTCTTTTAATTTACGTATAATCAATTTTTCTATATCTTTCCTTATTCCATTTTCTTTGAAATCCTTCTCTATTAACCTTTTTCACTTATCAATTATTTAACAGACTGTATTACGTTTGTTATTAAAAACTATACAAAATATCGACGAAAATAATCGATTAATTACTAAACAGCACGATTATTTATATAATAACAATTTTAAAAATAGACTCCCAGTCTAAAAGTATTTCTCTGTATTAGTAAAAATATTCATCTACGATAAAAACGTGCAATTATTTTGCTCCAAATTCATTACAACGATCAGTGACGGCCTCAGCCATCGGGCGCCCTGTCCCTCGCGAAAGTTTTAATCGAATCAGTGTAAAATCGAGGGAAATATTCGCGATGACTGGAGGATGACAATGATTCGAAAATTAATATTCCATTCGCCATTCTGCGCGTCAATAATTCGATTCCGGGTCGGGTAACTACTTCCGGCCAGGGGTTGTGAATTATCGAATATTCTTCGTCCGTTTAATAAACTTCCGGGAACGAGGAGGAATCCTTATGTTGGTCGTCCTCTGCTTTTATACACATCGTGGTAGTTATCGGAGGAGGATAAAAGGAAGTCGCTGTGACGCGGAGACAAAGTGCTGGGCCGGTAGATGAGCTTCCTGCGAGCCAGGATCCTGATCTCGTGACACCGGCTTCCTACGTTGGAAGGGTTACCTCAGGTCGTTGCCTTTTTCTCGGATTACCGTCGCTCCAGACCCAACCCCGACTTTCGTGCCGGCCATTTTTAAACACGGTTACACCTACCTAGGAGAGATCCGTAAACATCAAAGCGACGTATTCGTCGATATCTCGCATCTGCGAGTTTTATCACTTATTAAACGGAGAATTGTAACGAATGTCCCATATCTGGTTGCAGCATACCCACGGTAGAATGCAAATCGGAAGCCAGAGGTGCACGTGGTCCTGGGGGACGTCCCGCTCCGCTGCTACGCTCCAGGACTCTGCCTGCCATAGTCGCGCCTGGGTTGAGTATACTTCAGGCACAGATCGATGCTCGCTACAACGGTATGTTAATTGGACGCTTGTCAACTGATTAACCCATTCGCCTCTGATCTTAATGGTCCATCGTCGACGTGAAAATTGCAGCCAATTATTCCGCCAGAGGTCTAAATTGCACGCGTGTTCTTGGTACAGTTAGCGGTACAGCTCGGAACAGTTCGATGACGCGATGCTTTTCGAACTGTTACCGTGGTTAAAGTGAACGAGGCGAATGAGTGCAGTTGATTTTACGCTCCGCTCGATCGTATGCGAAAGACTACTATACTGCGCTGATGATTGCGACAGTGTCAACGGGCCTGTCCGTTCCAACCACCGCAGAGAGTGGATCTTCTACGAAACGTGGCAGTACCGCTTCCCATAGCACCAAGCTGCTCACGCCGAGGATATCCTTCACGGATGATACGATAGGTAAGGTGTCCAAGGATTATCCCGTTATCACACCAATCGTCTCTGCTTCATCCGCGGAATCGTGTTCACTGTGATGGTATGACTGTCGTACTTCCTTGATGAAAATAGGTTATCGCGAAGAAATTACTGGTAGAGTTGGTCTTCCAAATTTGGGAGAATATTGATTCGTGAGAAATTCCGGAAGTTTGTATTTTACGAAATTTTTAATTTATTTTACGAAATTTTGTGTTTTTGCTTTCACGCGGTTGAGAAGTTAAAGCAAAGCTTCTGTAGAGTGTAGTTACGTTGATCCCGAGCTTTGAGAATTTGAAATTCGAGTTTTAAAGAGACCTGCTTTTCGAGAATCCAAATTCCCAGATCTATGTTTTCAAATTTTATGAAATTGGAAGAGAAATATTATCGTGATCCTCTCACAGACTTTTCACTACACCTAGCACTATAGTCGATAAAGTTCTCAGTTAAGTAAACTTCGTTCAACTTAAATTAGTATTTCAAAAGTTGCAAAAATTCTGATATCTCCTGCTGGGACTGGAAAAGTTACAACCTAACCTCCAATATTTATCAGATGACTCGATGTATACAGTTCTTTACCGAAGTATACCTCGTTTGACTATAATCAATAAAATATTTATGCAACGAAACGGAAAATCAGGATTTCACGGTTCCGAGGATTCTGATATCACATGTTGAGACTGGAAAAGTTGCAACCTAACCTCCAATATTTATCAGAAGACTCGATGTATCCAGTTTTTTACATAAGCAAACCTCGTTTGACTATAATCAATAAGATATTTATACAACGAAACGGAAAATCAGGATTCCATGGTTCCAAGAATTCTGATATTTCATGTTGGGACTGGGAAAGTTACAACCTAACCTCCAATATTTATCAGATGACTCGATGTATCCAGTTCTTTACTCAAGTATACCTCGTTTGACTATAATCGATAAAATTATCACGAAATATTTATTACTCCAAGAATTTCAAAAATTTTGTGAAGTTCTAACCTAACCTTCGTTCGTTTATCTTGCGTGTCCCTGCGAAAATAACGAGACTGTCCATCTGACACGTGCTTCGCTTTTATTCTTCTTTTTTCCCTATACGTATCCTTGTCTTTTTATTTGCAGAACGTCGCGTCTCGGACTCCGGGCCACCAAGCAAAGAATCCTCGAAGGAACACTCGACAAGAAGCGGTAGACTGAGTACCTGCAGCATAAGCGGTTCTCAACCTTTGACCAGACTAGCGAGGCTCTTGAACCAGAGGCCGAGCTTCACTCCCAGCGATGAAATTCCGCGAAGACTCTCCTGGGAAAGGTATGTCACAAAATCGGCCAACGACGGATTCTTAAAATACAGGCAGGACTCTACGTGACCATGGGGACCCGAAAAAAAGATTGGCCTGAGACCAGGTTGCTCCAGACCGGGCCCAGCCGGAGCCGGAAGCCTCGGTCTGCCTTGGACGTTTATTGCAACCAGACTTGTCCCGCGGCAAATTACAAACGAGTTATTACTTTCTTGCAACTTGTCGATACTTGGGCATCGAGTTGCTTTTATGGCCAAGAGCACCGGAAGGATAATTCAGGATATTACACTCAGCCGAGGATCAGTTATATCCTAGACCGTTAATTTAATTAATTAATTCTACAAATGGCAAACACTGTAATTGGATCTCTGTGATGATCCCTGCGAAGATCGTCGCATTGGAAGAAATTATAGACTAGAAGTTTGTGGATCATAGCAATTTTGTAAAACGCTACAAATATGTAACTAGTAGGATAGTCCATCAAAGACTGAACGTCAATTAATACGACGTACCAACTCAAAGTGTAATACCGGTAATACTTGAACCGGTGGTTCGAGAAAGAAAAAGATAAGTCTAAAACGTAGAGTGATATTTTTTAAAAAGATCAGTATACTTCAACACGTTACATCTCATTTTTAACTTATTTTATCACACATTTAGATTCATCCTTTTTCGACTTGTGCCATTACTTCGGCAACACCCTGTATATTCCCGCGGTGAATCGGCATCGGTGATGACTCAGGCTGGATGCATGCACTTATGCAAAACACGCAACATGCAGATGGGAAAAATAAAAACCGTGTTATTAGACTCCGTCGATGACAAAATAAATTTCTGTCTACCTATCGGGGAGGAAGAACAGACACCCAGCGAAGCACTCAACGAAGCGGATCGACCATCGCTGTTCCCAATCGGCGAATAAAGACAGCTACTGCCCGGACTCGAGGCACAGGTCCCATAACTCTATCCGTCATAAAAATATGCATTTGCATAAACATTTATGATCTAGTCATAAGGTACCTACCCGACGCGAAGGCCGAAGGGGTTAAGCGAGAAGTAGACCAGGCCCAAACGAGCTCCGAATTGCGTGTATCTCCAGACAACTCGCGGTTATTCATCGTGGAAGGGAAAACCAGTCGATACTTAGATCCATATCTAAACGAGCCAGCGATTCCGCCTTCAGAGGTGACCTAGTCTTCCTCCAGCGGAATTGCGGAGGGAAAAACTGGAACAAAGTTACGTACTCGGGTATACCCGCCTGTGCCCAAAGTCACGGCAGACCCTGATGGACGCGTCGATGTCTCCACGATCGATGGTTATTCTAAAATCCGCGCGTCCATTGCGACTGGCGTCGGAACGGGAACAAAGATCTATCGCGTGACAGCTGGCGGGAGAACATGGAGGTTGCACACCGGATATACAGGGCTGCAGGTCGATGTGTGCGAGGTCTTCCCGCGCGGAACGACTCGCGAGGATGTGGAGGTTCAATTTGCAAATGGACGCGACCCGGTTTCAACGGAGACCCGGCTCGGTGGAAACAACACACCACGCGATATCGCCGCGAATTCGAAGATATTCCCGTTTCATGCACCCAGCTGTATTTATCCGTGTATTTATCCGTGCATTTATCCGCGCATTTATCCGAGAATTGCTGCTTTAAAGCTCACCGCTGACACGGAATTCCGGCAAGTTGGAGAGTCCGATGATCGGTCTCACGGTAATCCAACAGGGACACGGAATCAGATTTATGGACTTGAAGGGATGTCGTGGGTATTAAAGAAGAAAGGCACTATTTCGTGGTAATATAAGCTTTATTACACGAAGGGGGGCTAGTACAGAGGGCACGGTGTCTTCGAAAAGCTCTGTCCTGCACTATAGTCGCGAACGAACTGGTTTTCCAGGGCCTAGCCCAAACGTTCGAGGTGGTCCGCGTGTCCGCGAGTCATGGAATGCTGGGCGGAAAGACATTAGCCAGGCGCCCATTCACTAGAGACTCGATGTCCCTAGGCTTTCCTTTTTCGCATCGACGGATGCGTTCTTACAAACTCGTTCCACGTGTAATGCGTGTATCGATTTGCTTTAGTTATTCGAACTGTGGCTGAGTTTCGAGAGGGGGTGAGGAGTTCGAAGCCGGTGGTTTTAATCACTCGATTGGAGGTTAGGTGAGACATTAGAGTCGATTGCAAGGTGTTTCGGGCAACAGGCTGGTTTTAATCGATCACTTTGCGGTGTGATATTAAAGTCCAGATATTACAGTTATCGATATAGGGTCGAGATAGTGTCTTCTTTCAGTATTTTCCTGGGTTCAGCGTTGATTCTAATGTTTGATAGACCGGTATATTCTTTCGGGTTGGTCGAGTTTTCCTGCGAGTTTATAGTATGGTATAGCACTGGAATATTTAATAGAACAGCGTATATAAATCACCTGGATAACGAGGTTTAATCACTTACGACAGTTTAGTGGGAGTTAGAATATTAGAGGTGACAGGATACCCTGTTCTATGCTAATTGAATTATTCGTTTTACCGAATAATAGCTAGTCGTTCATGGAAGCTAGTTAAGTTTGACTCACCTAATTTATATGCTAACTGAGACACTGAACTGCGGTGTTAAATTTCACGAAAAATGTCCGTCGTCAACCGTCCGAAATGAGCACTGAAGAGAATACTCCGAACCTAATAGCGGTCACACCCCCGTGCCCAGTCATGAACGAGCCCTATGCCGTCGCTTTGTCTTTCTGTCCACGCTTGCCCTTTAGATCATGCGTTTCCTTGCTCCGTGGCTAGCAACCTGATGCCTAGAAACTGACCTTTAAACTCAGACACGTGTGGTCCACCTATATCTTACCCAGTCCACGAACTTTGGCGCGAAAATTTCCCAACGGTCAATGGAGCGTCTGTAAATGTAGATATTATTTAACACCATACCTACCATGATCTAAATTACCGTTTTCCAAATTTTCCTTAAAAATTCCACGTTCAATCTTTTCACATGAATCACTCGGCTTCGCGATTTTTCTTTAAATTTTTGTAAAATATAATCATTGTCTCACAAAGAGGGTGCAAGTCCTTTGGGTCACAGATTTAGTTGAAACTTTGCAGGTTTGTAGATTTAGTCATTCAGCTGAAGAAAATTTATCATTATAAGGGCAACTACTCGATAGTTTTCGAGATATCTATAATTAGAGTTTTATCTTTGCCATAATTACAGATTTATTAGTATGAAATAAACTTTACACAGTTTTATCAGTTACCAAGTGCCTTTATTATTTGTATAATATACGTGTTTCTAATTGGTTAGGTTCAGAGTTACTAACATTGATACACCGGGCAGATTCTATTAGCTGTAACACTTATCAATAGAAGGCGTCGTTGGCTTCGAATTATTATAATATTTCCTACAATTTCGAATATTTATCAAGTGTCGTTATGGCCTAATCCCACGCTGGTGGCATTTTCAGATGTCGTTGTTAGGCCACAATGCCACTTGATAACTATCGATAACTATTCAGAAGAAATCTCTCTTAATAATATGGGCAGATTTTATTAGCTGTAACACTTATCAATAGAAGGCGTCGTTGGCTTCGAATTATTATAATATTTCCTGCAATTTCGAATATTTATCAAGTGTCGTTATGGCCTAATCCCACGCTGGTGGCCATTTTCAGATGTCGCTGTTAGGCCACAATGCCACTTGATAACTATCGATAACTATTCAGAAGAAATCTCTCTTAATAATAATAAAGCTGTAATCATAAATACCTCAAAAACTATCGAGTAGTGATAATGATATATTTTCTGGAACTGGATGACTAAATCTACAAATCTCCAAAGTTTCAACTAAATCAATTATCCGACTTACACTCTCCTTTATCAGTGTCTCTCATTATTCCATTTTCTAAAGCTTCTGCTTCTTTCCCATTCATCGGTCACTTGACCATGGCAGGTTTAGCGTTAAATCTGCGCCCCATGAGGACGTAACCTTAAGCCGTCATCGAGCTGCATAGGGTCGAGACAGTCGAATTTAGCTTGGCTGAGTAGGTGGCTTTTTTTACTACAGTTAGCGTTATCTTCTCCTGTGTCTGACCTTTCCTTGGCCATCAAGCCTGAAACCTTATCCCCGAGCCAAGAGGAAAAGCAATTATCCACCCTCCGTCGGTGTTGAAAATTATTTATAGTACACAGGTTTCCTTGGAACAACGCGGCGCAACGAAATTTATGCTCCTCGATCGGATATCAAACGGATAAATCAAAACGATGCATCCGGACCACCGCGCCGCGCGTGTTCTTAATTAAATCGTTCGACATCCAAACACAACCCGGAGTTCGCAATCAGACGTCGAGTTAATTTAAGGCACTTAGGTTGCATTAATCCCGTTTAATTCTCGATGCAGCCCCGATATTTAATGTCCCCTTATTTCGAGCGAATCCAGCTTCAGTCATTGATCCTGCGAACTCGAGGAAGGCAGGCTCTCTTCTCTAGCCAACGAGCCAATTACGCTCGTTACGCGTACGCGTGCCACGAAGGTCGCTAAATTGCCATAAATCACCGATGCCAGACGAACCCGACGTTTTCCCGCGGACTAACGAGGATCGCAGGAAACTCGCGAATCCGAAATGCCACCGACTGGGTAATGTTAAGTCGACAAATCGGCGCTGGCAATTTGCGTCGAGGTAGTCGCGAGACTCGAAGAAGCTATCACAGAGTGGCACTGGTAAAAGAAAAGAACGGAGGAGAGAGGAGTGACTGAAGAGGAAAAATACAGAGATAATTTCGAGATTCAATGGTTCAAGGATCCGCAATTTTTCCCTCGTTTCTTCGTCGAATTCGTAATTTGATTTCCCTTTGGGAAAGAACTGCTGATTCAGGAGAAATCAGGTGGAATTCAACAAACTTTTCTTGTTTTACAGTTGAAGGTGCCAGCAGGGGATCTCTGTGTTTCCCTCGTAGAGACAGTGCGAAGTGGAAATACGAGAATCTTTTCAGCTTCTCTGAAAATGGAGAAGTAATATCTGATATTTAAAATGAAAGGCATTCCTTTTGATAAAAGGAATTTTGTTTAATAAATTATGGATTTGAGATAGAGAAGCTTTTCGGAAGAGAAAATGAATAGCCTGAATGCTTGACTTAGGGCAAAGGGCATTTTGCTTAATTTTAAAATTGCTGTGGTGACATCCGCGCAACTATTCGCAATTTTTGCAATTTCGTCGATTGCAACTAGCTTGTGACTCATTCTATAAATCAAAATCTCTGATTTGCGTTGAAAAATGAAACAGCACCCTCTGCTGTAAAAATTCAATATTATTTACTGACTAATTCAGTGCTTATATATTTTTGACAAGCGTGGAGACTAGGAAGGATAGATGAGAAACTTGCATTTTCAAATTTAAATTAATTTCTCGTCATGAAGACAGTGCGAATTAAAATGGCTAAATGGCTATCCTGGCCAAGAGGATAGTTTCTTCCAATTATTTTTCACAGCTGAAGATAGACACGAACATCGACAAGGGTGGATCTGAATCGTCTAATTCAAAATACAAACTGGAAATCATAATTTCGATATTATTCTCATAGAGTCACTTCGAGTCTGGCCATAAGGGTAATTTCTTCAAATTATTTTTCGTGTGCTAAAAATACACATGAACATAGACAAGAATAGATTCAAATTCTGTAAGTTAAAGATTTAAATTTATATAATTGAAGATATAAATTAGAAATTATAATTTCGATATTATTCTCATAGTCACTTCGAGTCTGGCCACAAGGGTAATTTCTTCAAATTATTTTTCGTGTGCTAAAAATACACATGAACATAGACAAGAATAGATTCAAATTCTGTAAGTTAAAGATTTAAATTTATATAATTGAAGATATAAATTAGAAATTATAATTTCGATATTATTCTCATAGTCACTTCGAGTCTGGCCACAAGGGTAATTTCTTCAAATTATTTTTCGTGTGCTAAAAATACACATGAACATAGACAAGAATAGATTCAAATTCTGTAATTTAAAGATTTAAATTTATATAATTGAAGATACAAATTAGAAATTATAATTTCGATATTATTCTCATAGAGTTACTTCGAGTCTGGCCACAAGGGTAGTTTCTTCAAATTATTTTTCGTGTGCTAAAAATACACATGAACATAGACAAGAATAGATTCAAATCCTGTAATTTAAATATTTAAATTTGCATAATCGCAAATACAAATTCAAAATTATAATTTCGATATTTTTTCGACATGGACATAATGCGAAAATCATGTGACAAAAACACAAAAATGAGTGAGCAACTTCGTGTCTGTTTATAAGGGTAGTTTCTTCCACTTGCTTCTGACGAGTTGATAGTGCACATGGAAATCGAGGATGTATCGGAAGTTTGTAATTTAAATGTCCAAACTGGTGAAATAGCGCACATAATCATCCTGTTTGCTTGAAAAGGGGAAGATTGGTAACAAGGGTTGTTTCCCTTTCGCGAATCAGTCCGAATTAATTAACGCCAGTCTGCGGCGTGAACTCGAAGAACACATTCCCTTTTAATCATTCGCTTCCTCTTCTGAAAAAGGCAGAGTATCAAAAACATTGCAGCCTGTAATCTCGTTGTCTCGAGTGTAACTTAGGTTCCCCGGGTATGATTTCGCGACGGCGAGTTTGACTTTGCGAACCGGAATGCAATTTCGCTGGCACCGGTGTGATTTCGTCGCTCTGAGCATAATTTCGAGACTTTGGGTATAATTTCGCGGCTCTGGGGGCAATTTCGCGTCGTTGAATTTGACTTCGCCAACTCGAATTCAATTTCCCTGTAATTTCGGTCGTAATTCCCTCGGTGCGAAAAAATTTAACAATGCGACGAGAATCTTCCCTTAACTTGTCGAGGATCAGTCACAAAAATAAGACGATTCTCGAATCGCAAATTACATTAGTTATTTATTTCAATAATCGCAGTAATTTTAATTCCTTCGTTTTAATAATATATTTCTAAATTAAATGGAATAAAGAGATCATAATGTTATAGGATTTTGCGTTTATGCTATTTTAAGTCGTAATGGGTGTAATTAGGAGACAGACAAATTTTCGCAATTCTCTTCGCGAGAAAGTGAAAATTTTCCAAAGCAGTAGGAGGATAAGGAAATTATACGACGGGTACTCAAGAGCTTTTTACACCTGCAACTTCACAGCACCTTTCCACCCTCGTTTCCCATTTTCGTCGCGAGGATATTTCAGCAGCGACTAAGTGCTGCTCTCCGAAATGTAGCATTGCAATGGAGATTCTCAAAGATCAACCGAGTTTACCGAAGAAATTCCCCAAGGGTGGAAAGAAAACGCGGCTGAGGAGGAAGGGTAACACCTGCGAGAGGTAACATGCCAGAGAAGAATTCAAATCAGTTTCCTTAGGTTATTAACGTTACTCACCTTTTCCCTTGTTTTCTCGTCTGGAGACGAATAAAACGAACGGAACCGTGGCTATAGTCCAGGTCGAGAAATAAAAGAAGCTTATAGTTGCGCGAACCGAGCATCTAGAGCATGAAAAAATATAGGGGCGATGAGAAAATGTGCACATCGTGTCCTCTCGGGTATCTTTTGCATTTTTCGGTGACAGAGGAAGGAAGAATTTCTGATTGCCTGTAGATCTGTAGATCTGTAGAAAATTCGATAAAAAATCGGCCGATTGGATGAGAACCAAAAATTCTCTCGACGACGGCGTAGACAGCAGTCTACGAATAGTCACTATGTGAAAAATTTGATCGAAAAATCTCTCAGTTTGTTAAAAACTAAGAATTCTCTCGTTGGACGTCGAAGCCACGAAAAATTCGATCAAAAAATTGACCGATTTGCCAAAACCAAGAATTTTTCGTCAACGTCATAGACATCAGTCTACGAATAGACACTGTATGAAAAATTCGAACAAAAAATCTCTCGATTCGTTAAAAACCAAGAATTCTCTCGTTGGCCGTGGAAGCCACTGAAAATTCGATCAAAAAATCGCCCAACTCGTTAAAAACGAATACCCACGTTGGACGTGGTACTCGTGGAAAATTCGACGGAAAAATCGCCCGATTCTTTGGAAAGGAAGAATCCTCTGGATCAGCTATGCACGGAAAATTCAATAAAAAGGAACAGTGGCTCCGGAGAAAATGGGATAAAAAGATGGCTGAATGTGTTGAAAATTGTAATGAAAGGGATAGTTCCGCGTGTAATCGAACCGTGTCAAAGGGCCATTTTTGTCCCAAGGTCACCCTTTTATTCCCCGGAGTTTCCAAGTTTTCACACAGATGCATACAGAGAGTAATTAGGTGTACGTAGGATACGGCTGTTCTAAAGGGGATGTCGAACTGGCAGGGCGAAGAGAATATCGTAGGGGAGTGATTTTATCGGCTTTAATGCACGCAGCGTTAAAGCGGAGGCTGGTAAATGTCGCGAAGTTGGCTCTGCTGGGAATATAAAGGGCAGGAAAAATAGAAAACGGAGAAGGGAGAGCATGGAAGAAGCGAGTATCGCCATTTGCACTGAATTAATATTATTGGGTCGGTGCAATTTTGAATAAACAGGATTAAAGGTTCTCGGGAGCAGTGTCTGGTAATATGGACCTAACAGTGTGCTAGAGGTTAGAATACAATGGCAAGGGTGGTTTTAAACGTCTGACAGCAAGGGGTGCAGATTAAACGCCCAAAACTGTTCGGGAAACTTCGTGAATTTAATATATCGGTCCCCGAATAGCGTGCAAACTGGTTTATCGATAATCTCGTGTACTACAGGTCTATTAATTCGATCGTGGATGATAAATGTTAGCCAATTTGCGCATACTACGCGGCGCACGCGAGGTGAGAAACTCTCTCTAATCCTGATCAAACATTCAGCGGAATTTCCCGTTTCGTCCGAATCATTTCGATCCTCGGGTTTTGGTGAAAGCGAAGAGGAAATTGTGGATACAGCAAATTTTTGCGAAGAATTAATCTTATAATTGCGAAGATAAATGAAGATAAATGAATAAAATAAACTCTCTTAGATAAATACCAATTTTATTTCAGCTTATTAGTTGCATTCTCAAAAAATTTCTTAGTAGTAGTTTCAAAATTAGGGTAATTATATTTATTCTAAGTACCCACTTAGGAAGAGTTGGAAATTCGTAAAAAAATTTTGTAATAAATACAAATCCTGTTCGATCTATGACACTAAGAAGCCAAATTGGTCGAGCTAAATCTGAAAATTGTTTAATAATGATACCAAAATTCGTAACTTTAGAGTTTCATCCTTAATCTCTTGCCTTGTAACATAGAATCCTAAGTGTTATAACACAGACAAAGATTAGTTCATACATTTACAAATTTTCCAAAATACAAAACACAATTTGGCCAAAATTACATAGAGCTAGATCTCCCAGCAAATTCCATATAACACTTTCCTCGTAACATATACCTTGGTCACGCTTATTTCCAATCTTACCTACACGAGCTACCAACTAATTAGACATACAGGTACACATATATTTAATTATAAGCCAATACAAATATCTATTCAATTCCATTGTCACACTGTTGCTTTTCATCCACAAAATGGTCTCGCGACACCAACCATTTCGCCACTTTCCCTCTGCAAATATCCCCAGGCAAGGGGTTAAAAGTGCAAAAACCCTGGACTCGTAAAAGCTCGCTCAGTCTGGCATTTTCGTGTCTCATTTGCCACACTTTCGAGTGCCAGTTTCTCTTAACAATAAGTGGGATAACCGCATTGCAGAATTAGACTCGAACTCGAACTGATCAACAGACGAGACTGCAGCTCTACCAGCTCGTGCCTACCGAGGAGCAGCTCGATCGACAGTGTGGCAGAATGGAGCGTGGCCGGAGGGGTAGGAACTGTGAGTGGCAGCAACACGGTGAACGCTGGCAGCAGCTACGGGCTTTTCGCCGATCAGCAACCACCGAGGAGGAGTCCAAGCCCCTTGTTAGGCGCCAGAAGCGACAGACTCAGCCTCGTCTCGCCGAACATTGGCAGGAGGGTGAAGGGTCATCGGGCGGTGCTGGGTGAGTGTTCCATTTTTGGCACTGGTTCAACCTTTCTCACAGAAATAGATCCGCGGACACGAAATTGATCGATCTCACCGCGAACGTGGAAAGTGGCAGGAATCCCTTTGAAGATTTATTCCAGCGTAGCTCGATCTCTCCGATCTAGCCGAGTCCTTTCATCAATTTTCGCTTTGCACGCGAAAATGGAAAGCGACGTCGCTCTTCACGAACACGTGTACGTAAAAGAAGATTCTTTATCCTTCCTTTCAGTTCCTGTTTCTCGTACAAAATGGCGGGCAGACCTCCGATTTTTCATTTGATCTTTCGGGAATGTGGATCCATGCAGGATAAAGGAGACCCCACTTGTGGTCGCTTGTCACAGGTGTTTTAGCTATCTAGCAGGTGGCAGTGGTGCTAAAAGAGTCGAGAGAAAAGGAAGGGATGGGTTTCGACCTGGGCCTGCTAGTGGACTCATCGGTAAAGCTACCTAGCAGGCCCTGCCTTATGGGATACTATTGGAAATTTTGGAAATACCTATATATAGTAAACGGAGGGTTCTTACTGAGGAGTCCTCGAACCTCCTTCAAGTAGGAATCCATCTATTGACGAGGATGAAAATAATACCGCCACAGATAGATCCATCAATTACTCGGTAATGCGATCTCAGTGTTGATTCTCTTAACTTTTTTAAGAATGAATCGAGAATTTCGTTGAACGATTGGATAATTCATACGATGTCAACTGTTTAAATCTTAGGCTATCACATCCAGTACGTGTCATTATAGTCTCCTAGTAGGACGATATTAAATATCGGAATTGGAGAGAAAGAAAGAAAGAAAAGATAATTTTTGAAGATTCGTGGATGCCTCAACCCTCCTTTAACTAGCAATCCATCTACTGATAAGGATGAAAATAATACCGCCACAGATCCATCAACTACTCGGTAATGCGATCTCAATGTCGATTCTCCTAATTCTGTCAAGAATGAATCGAGAATTTCGTTGAACAATTCGATGATTTCTACGATCAACTATCGGTCAACTATTTGAATTTTAGGGTGTCACATCCAGTACGTGTCATTATAATTTCGTAATAGGACGAGATTAAGTATCGGAATACGTGAGAAAGAAGGAAAGGAAAGATAATATTTGAAAATTCGTGGAATCTCTTGCTCGTTTCGATCGATGGCTAGATTTTTCGCCTGGCAGCGTCCACGTGCATACTAATTGCCGCTTATAACCACGGATGATCGAACCTTTTCGTTGCAACATTCCCTTTACGTGCCGTGGCAAAAACGTCAATTACAGGGATCGAACATCGGAGGCAATAACGTTGGCTGAAAAGTTGCGAGCCTGCCGTTTCATGGACCCAGCGAAGCTGTGCCGCAAGTTATATTCTTCGCCGGTAGTTGGAAAGTTCGATCGACTTCCGCAATTATTCCAATTAGTCAAGCTTCGCGACTTTTAATTAATAGCTGACTGCGAATACTTGGATGCAACCGACAAACTGGTGAAATTAATCGCGAGATTAACTTATTTGTTCCACTATTAGAGAACGGAAGTCGAGGAGTGGACGACGCCTCCCTCGATCTTTCCATTTCACTCGCCGATCACGCGTGACAGGAAATTAGACGTGTACTTGCTCTTCTTTTTCTTCGTTGTAGAGTTAATCGGAAGGGGGTAATGGTTGTACTCTCGAATTCTGGGAAACGCTAGTTCGAAGCAAGTGCAGAAGCACCAGTACGTTATCTGGATAAAGATCATCCACGTTGTTCCCCTTGTAATCGTTTCGACCACGTTAATGAATCCATTTGTCACAACGGAGGTGGAAGACAAATTTCGCACACACTTCTGACAGAGCAAGTTTTCAAAAAGGTTAATCTGGTTTCCAAGTGATAAAATGACTCTCACCCCGTGAGGGAAGCTCGTAGAGTCGACGACCTTGTTCCAGGAAAACTTGGAAAATTCGCTGGAAATTTTGACACGCGAATTTACAATCGAATTGAGATACCCTGAAGTCGATATTTTACTGTTCTAAAAATTTTTTAAATTAGATTCGATCCACGTATTCATGGTACACCTATCAATATCCTCTTTACAATTTACCTTGTAAATTTTTAGGAAGTAATTTCCAAAAGAGCGGGTTCTCAGTTGAATTTTTAAAATTTCGCGAGAATCACTGCTATTTATCAATGTCTCGTTTTTAATTTTGGAAACGAATTTTCCAGAGAACCGAGTTGCTAACTGAACCGAGATACTGTATACTCGGTATTGTGCTATTTCAAAAATTTCGCGAGAATCACCGCTGTTTTCCAATGTCCCGTTTCTCATTGTTCTTTTTAATTTTTGATGCCGAACTTTCCAAAGAATCGAGCTGATAGTTAAAAATAGGTGGCCTGAACTCGGTATTGCGCTATTTCAAAAAATTCGCGAGAATCATCGCTATTTATCGATGTCCCGTTTCTCATCGTCGTTTTTAATTTTTGAAACCGAATTTTCCAAAAGACCGAGTTTCTATTTAAAAATAGATAGTCTAAACTTGGTATTGCGCTATTCCAAAAATTTCGCGAGAGTTATCTGTGCGCCGTGTAAGGCTTATCAGCGTCCTCTTCCTAATCGTGGGGAACTTCCTCGCTCGTCCCTATTCGAGACCAACATTAGATACGCCCCTGAGGCGCGTCTCGCCTCGACCAATGGTTAGGCCCGTTTAGCGTCGGCTGTCGGATGTGTGAAGACGAGAACCGGTTGTCCCCACCTAGGTGGGCAAGAAGGGAGCAACGCTCCCGCTAAGAAAGGTGCACGAGCCTCGTGAATTTCGTGACATCCGGGGGGCCTTTCACGTGTTCTCGGCCTATTGTGGCACGTAACACGAGATTCCGACGTTAGTGCGCGCCTCCGACTACCTGGCAGCGTTTGACCTGCGAGTCTCTCAGTGAACGCCTCCTAACCGAAGCATAGATCTCGCGTTGCTTTCGCGAATCTTCGGCATGGCACGTGGCACGCGGACTGTGACGGAGCTTACGGTGTAGATAGCGGTGTACGATCATGATCGAGAAGCTAACTGGACGTCGGGCATGTAAACAATAAAGTGAAAGTGAAGGAAGGCAGCGTCCTCTTGGCTGCTTCGCGAGAGCTAAAAATCGTCATAGACCCTAAAGGAGGACCAGGATGACGGACTGTCTATGAAGTATCGAGAGTACATCTGATAACCTACCAATAATGACAAAAACCAGTGCAATTGGGTAAAAGATCCCTGAGTGAACATAGAAATCTTCGTCTCCGAGACCTCTAACTAGAGGGCTACTGCACCAGTTCGGTTAACCTAACTCGAACGATGGGAGAGAGTTTTTTCGGCTTTCGTGTCCCTGTTTCGAAAGCGTAGTTTACACCAGAGTTGCCGCGATAAACGCAGGAGTGTTCACCGGTCGATGTAGCATACCTGAATGGTCAGGCCCCGTCTCGGCCAATCGTCTTTCACGCTTTGTTTACGTCCTCGTGCCTGGTCACGCGGTTGGCTACTCTGAGTCGCTTGTCTAAAGAGGCTCTCAGTCCACGATTGTTCGCGTGCTCGGTTGTTTCTCCCGTGAAAATCTCACGTCGTCTCCGCGAGGACGCCTCGGCCAGGTGATTCATCGACGACAGTGCGTCACAGGTGCGATTGGGCTTCACGGGACGCTTTCGCCGAGATTTTCGTCGTTTCCACCGGGTTTCCATCGAGTCGGGCTTTATTTAGCCGGGTTACCCGTGGTGCAGTGCGTGGCGTCGAAATCACAGAGGGACTCGGTGAGGACTGCATTTCATACGCGACTCTTTCGTCGCGGGTTCGTGACACTCGCGGTCTGACAGACGAAACTAACGGAATAGCGGCGGGATCGATGGAAAACGTGGGATTAAACGTGCACCCTGGACTAGTCGCAAGTGAACCGGTAATTCGATCGACACCTAGTAACACGATCGCCTTTGCAGAACGCGATAGTCCCTCGCAACGACACGCGGAGTGCGGCTTCGCGATCGCGTAACGTCCTCGAGGCTTCGTAAATCGAAACTTGGCAAATCGCTACAGGTTTGCCAATTTCTCTCGAGACCGTTTCTTGGACCAGGCTACCGGTTCGCGACTCGACAAGGATCCCAGAGCTCAGAGGATCTCAGGATCTCAGGATACGCTGACTCTGTATCCTTGCTGTGATCATGGACGTAAACATTCGGAGAACCTGACGGTGGTCCTGACATTCGGTGACTCTGCACGTACGCTATTCGTGTATTAGTATTCCTGATAAACGAATAAGCCCTTTCGGGATTAAATCGAGAGTTCGGATCGTGAGGGGCTGCAAAGGATCCCGAGGGACCATCAAGTTAATTACGTCAGCTCGTCGCACGTCGAGCTAACGCGGCGGTAGCTTCGCGTCCAGAGAGACGAATCTGTGACAGACAGGCATTATTCCGAGAGGAACGTGGTAAAATCCCGTGGATCGTGCGATAAAGAACTTGAGGAGGCTAAAGAGGATCGAAGAGAAGGTAGACCTGGCGTCTGCGGGCCTGACATTTTCGGGCTGCGGGAAAAAGACGGTGTAGCCGCAGGATGCGGCCGAAGAAAAAACAGTATCGTTTCGCGAGGTATCGAGAGCGTCCCCTGGACAGGGACGCGACGAAAATGAACGGAGCGGAGCTTTGAGGGACACACGGTGCAAAAGGTGGAGGACCTTGCCGCGTCCCGAGTGAGAACAGCAAACCGGTTTCTGCATTTGGTGCAACGACGCGTCTGCCTCGTTTCGCCGGCGAGTTTTCGGCAAGAAATTTTCACGTACCCGTGCTCCCGTTACTTTTCTCATTCCCTCTCGTCGGAAAGCGCGAGGTCGGCTTTCGCTCTTCATGGAAACGGTGCCATAGCCACGGCTGGATGCAAACTTAGGGTACGTCTCCATTTTATTTCCCTTTCTTTTACCCCTTTTTCGTCTGGTCTCTTTGGCCATGTAGACCTCCGCTTCGTCATTCGTACCTCGCTTTCGGATAATTTTCTTACTAGGCTCCAGAGCCTAGTTATTTTTCTTCCCCTAGTTCACCGTTCGCCGGTGTCGCGCTTTTATCGGTAGCCAAAATTCTGTCACGCGAATGACTGCAACGGCTAATGACTTGCAAATATTATAAATACGTATAGAATTTTTCTATTAATTCTGCCAATTCACGGGGATATTAATTATATTATGACTATGTACAAGAGACACAACTATGAGGCTTGTAAGCAACTTTAATATAAAATTTTTCAAAAATGGTGTATATTATGTGCTTATTCACAAAATGTCATCGATTTTATGACAGTAAGATCTGTTACCAAAGATGTTGGAGGGTAGGGTAGCTAGATATAGGTATAGGAAGGTATCTAGAATTACTATAGATATTTGACAAGGTATATGAAGATATCTAGAATTACCATAGATATTTGACAACGTAATTTATTATTTTCTTCTCTATACAATGTCTCTTCTACACGAGTTGGATGTCGACTAAGACTCATCGACCGATTATCCATGGTGTTGGCACACGTGTCTCCTTTCCGCAGAAAGGTCACCGAGTGCAAAGGTTCAACGTTGCCACTCGTGAACGAGAGTGAAGATTCGTCGGTTGTAGTAGGAGGATTCGCAGTGTGGCTGTTAGAGACACTTTCGAAAATCGAAGAAAGCGATTCATCGTGTGAATCGAGTGAAAGCACTCGCGGGATCGAATACGAATTGCCATTGCGACACTGTTAATCGCCTATAGGCCATGAATTTTAATAAAGTATCGGGGAT